TAGAAAACTTGAATAGGTGCCAATGGTGTGGTATATAATAATCTTACAAATTCTACAAAATGGAGCACATCCTTATGCCAAACTTTATTACTTTGAGTACCCTTTAGGTTACTTCCTGCAAGTGGTAGTGTTTAGTTATATAAAAAACAAGTAGGTTACATCCTTATAGTCTCCTTAGTTGCCATTTAATAGAAAATTCCTTTTATAAATCTTTGTTGTAGACATGATGATTTTTATGAAATTTTGAGGCCTGCAATTTCCAATCAATAATTGATCAATTTCTGCATTACCTTGTTTTAGAGGACCCACATGGGACAGAGATGTGTTATGGGAAAATGCCTATTACTGAGTAAATAATGAAATAAATTCTGTATTATCTGGCATAAATTCAGCTGTTTCAATATGCCAAATAAATCTCTCTCCATATTGTGAATCAGTAACTATATTGAGATGCTCTTTAAAAATCCCTTAGTACAATGAAAATAGCATATAATTCTGACTTTGGACAGAATGATAAGGCTTTGTTATACTTTACTTAAACCTTCTGATGTGTAACCTTCCTTTCCTTATTTATTTGTATCAGTATAGAATGTAGGGGCTCCAGTTATTGGTGTGTCTTATGCAAACTGGGAAAGGATCCGATTCACTCTATCTATAAGGTTAATTCTATCGCTTTTGGGATAGTTGCTATTAATCTCCCTCCAAAAATTAGTACAACATTGCTGCAAGGAATCTCTGCTTGTTCATCCCAGCCACCCAGAACCAAAATATTCACATAATTAAATTACTTCTTGGCCCATTACCTCTAGCTTTTTATTGGCTAACTCTTACATCTTAACCCATTTCTATTAATATGTATATTGCCATCAGGTCATGCCTTACCAGCAAAGTTCTGGCATGTCTGACTCTGGCGGGGGCTCCATAGCATCTCTTGGACTCTGCCCTTCTTTCTCCCAGCATTCAGTTCTGTCTTCCCCACCTATCTAGCAACAAAGTCTTAATTTTCCTTTTATATTTAATTCAGAAACTTTTTCCAAATAAGATTTTAATTTTTTACTTGGTTTATATGGCAAAATGATTCATCCTAAGATAATCTTTCCTCTGCATTAAAATTTATGTAGGGAAATATTTGAAGGGTAATATGACCAGAATGCCCTTAAGATTCAGACCCACATGAGCCATGTTTCTCCTGCAATTTTCCTTCAATAAAAGTTGACTATTTCTCAGCTTCAGCTGTTAATTCCCTGGAACTCTTCAAGTCTTTGCTCTCATTTAACGTTTTGTTTAAATGAATTATTAGATATGTTGTTATCTTAGAAGTGGACCATAGACTGGAAATTCCTCCTAGTAATCTTTGAAAGTCCTTAAGAGTCCACAATCTATCTCTCCTAATTTGTGCTTTTTATGTTCTAATTTTCTGTAAACCTATTTTATAAACTAGATAATTGATAGAATCTCCTCTTTGTATTTTTTCAGGAGAAATTTGTAATCTCCAACAAAGTGAAACCTTTTTACTTCTTCAAACATTTTTTCTTCCCTTCCTTTCTTTCTTTCTTTCTTTCTTTCTTTCTTTCTTTCTTTCTTTCTTTCTTTCTTTCTTTCTTTTATTGAACATTCTTTCTAAATAACTAAATTTGAATCAGATAGCAAAATGGTATCCATATGATGGTAGTCTATAGATTTAAGAAACGGCTTATGTATCATTCCTAATGACTGACTTACAATAAAATATTGGCATAGGATGGGACTATTTAAGTTCCACATAGGAGAATCTTCCATTGATATTTTTAGCAGGCTGATAATTACTATAATTAGGCACTATGAAGGCAAATTTTCTGTGTTTTTCATGTAAATGTGTAATGAAGAAGCAATCTTTTAAATCAATAACTATAAGAGTCCATCATTTAAGCAATAAGTAAGCAAAAGAATTCCAGATTATAGAGAGTCCATTGGCTGAATCACCTTATTAACAGCTCTCAGATCTGTTACTATTCTCCATTTTCCAGATTTCTTTTTAACAATAAATACAGGAGAAGTCCAAGGGCTAGTTGATTATTCAATATTCTGAGCATCTATTTGCTCCTGTACCAGCTGTTCTAAAGCAAGCCTACAGTTTCTCCTCTTTCAAAGGCCATTGTTTACTCCATGTTGATTCCTTAGCCATTTTAAAGTTAGGACCATTGGTACCTCAAAAGGTTTGCTAGCTGTTTTGTGTTTTTGAACAGCCTGAATGGTTGGTGGCTGTTTTTTTTTTTTTTAATAGTACCTTATTATGTTCTTCCCAGAAACATGAGCTGGTTTATGATCTATTTCTTAGACTGCAGGAATGTTAATCTGGGTACTTCATTGCTGCAACAGATCATAACCTCATAGTTTCACTGGTATGTTAGCCACATATGGCCTCAGCATTCTTATTTGTCCTTCTGATCCTATGCAGTCAACCTATCTCATGCATTGTTTTACTTGAGATAGGGTTCTAATTACTAGGAATTGAACATTTGTCTCCTGAAGATGTCAATTCAGATGCCACTATTATAGAGTAATAATAGTCACATCTGTACCTGTGTCCAGTAATTCTTCAATTACATTTTTGTTTATTCATACTCTCAGCTTTGATCTTTGAATATTTATAAAAGTCTGTCAAATATAAGTTTTCTATTTTCTATTGAAATTTTTGACTCATCCTCCTTGTTTATTTTGTCATCCAGAACAGTGTTGTTGTTGTTGTTGTTGTTTTGTTGTTTTAACACAGGCACTGGATAATTTCATTTTCCTAGGGTGATGTGTCCTTCACAGTGACTGGAAATTACTGGACCATGTTTGACTTGGGGGTCTGTGAGAGGCTCCCCCAAGGAATTTCCCAATGGTAACAGGTTGCATTGTTTGTCTCTTATTGATCTACATTCATTGGTCCAATGTTGACCTTTGCTGCATCTTCTACATTATTCAGAAATTTGAGACCATCTGTTTTTGTCATACCCAGAAGAAACATTAGTTCTGGAAATGACTTGTCTACAGTCCATTTTCAGATATCCTATTCTACCACAATTCAAACATTTGGTATTTTGATATCTCTTTATACATTTGGAATTTGTTTCTCGTACCCACACCTCAGTATTATAGTCAAATGATTCAACATTTACTGTGTAGGATCCATTCATCCATTGCTGCTGATCTGACCTTTAAAGGCCCAAGTATCTTTTTCCACTCTAAGTTGGCATTTTCAAAAGGAAGAGATTCAATAAGTACTCATCTAGCTCTTTGATCTGCTACCCCCATTTGTACAGTTTTAGATAACCTTTGAAAAAGTCACTAAAGGGTTATCTTGGGCTTTGCATTACCTTAGGATATGATTCAATTCTTCTTCCTGATTCTTGAAGTAAGGCAGGTCTGAGATCAGTTACCTGAGTTACCTAAGACTTAATTACTAACAAATTTAATTACTTAAGAACAGCACATCCTTATATGGAGAAGGTTTGAGTTGGGCTAAATATCAAGGAACACAGAGCTTGCAGGCAATAACGAGTCATGGGGTTATTGACTGACCTGGTCAATAGCACAGATCTGAACTGGGAACACAAGCCAGAGCAGCCACTGCCCCTGCAGTCAGAGCTACGACTGATCAGAGTAGGCCTGGTCGAAGCCAGAGAAGCCTGTGAAGGAGTGTCGGCAAAAAACTGTGTGCTGCAGTAAGTCAGTTGCATAGTAGGCAGAACCAAGGCACGTGGGGGCGTGGTCAGTGGGAAATGTTAAGTCACCACGCGACTGGCCAGCAAAATATCGTGCTGTGCATCAGAGGGGTAGTTCAGCTGTATGGAGTGGAATAGGCTGTAGATGGTTGAGGGGGGCGGTTGTGGAGTTCTAGGCAGGGCCCAGCAATGATGTGGAATCTGGCCATATGGGCTCCAATTTGATGCCCTCCAGAAGAGTTCCACAATAGCCTAGAATGGAGTATAGCAAAGGTTTATATTTGGGAATGAACTTACAGAAAGGGTAGCAATTTGCAGCCTTCTCCATGCATGGGATCTAAAACTGAATCCAGTAGCCAAGAGACCAGCACACACTTTTTGTCTGCATTTATAGTACACGAGACCACATTCAAAGTAGGCTGGAATCTTAAAGGCTATTGGCTGAGGGAGTTCCCACAGGAAGAAGACACTGAGTAATGTCTACAACTAGATATTCTTTATACTCATTTACACAAGAGGATGAGAAATATGGCATATCCATATTCTTGAAAGTTCATATTAGTTAAACTTAAAATGCTGAAAAAAGCTTTCAATTTGGTGATTAGCTCACAACATGAAAGAATGTCTTTATTTGATAACAATCAAATATACAATGATTGAGAAAAATATATTACTATAGAAAGCAACTGTGCTATAATCCTGAGTGAAATGCATAAAGATCTATGCTTATTATGATTCAATGTAATAATTTATGTATGTACCTGAGCATAGAATATCAGAAGTAATAGAATTGAAATATTAACATATTCAACTTTTTGTTTACATTGGAGCACTGAACAAGACTTTTATTTTATCATTTTCATATCTCTCCTAAATTTCTTACAGTGTTCATGTACAAATGAGTCAAATTCCAATATTAAAAATTATAGGTAAAATAATGTATTATTTTTATTATAAAGAACATAAAGTATTCTGTTATACAGAATAACTTTGAAAATTTCCAAAGGATATGTTCATTTCATGATACTGATTATAATGAAGTGTTTTCTTCTAGATCTTTTTAAAAGTGAGTAAAAATATATAGTGTCCACTGAAATGGCTCAGTGGTTAAAAGTTCTTGTCTCTAACCCTGATGATTTAAGCTGAATCCAGGGAACCCTCATGCAGACAGACAAAACTGATTTCCCCAAGTTATCCCCTGAAGTCCACATGTGTGCTGTGGTGTGTATGTGCCCTACAATAAATAAATGTGATAAAAATGTTTAAAATTTATAACTATACATATTTATATAATATATAATTAAATCAAACTTAAAATAATATTCATCTTTACTCATGATTTAATTAAAAATAAATCAGTGTATATTTTAAGTAGTGAATATTAAATACATTATGATAAATTTATTTCAAAATAAGTATGTTTTCTAGATTTTAATCAAACAACAGCTTAGAAATATAGTTTTACATATACACATAGAATATGTACATTTTTAGAACAGTAAGACATATTTTATGACAAATCTGCTTAACAAGGACTATACAATTCTCAGATGTGAAATAAAACTGGTCTGCCTAGGGAACACAAACCCCTGAGACAGAATCACACATGGTTCAACTTTGGTGTATGACTGTTATAACACCATTATATAGGTAAGCTGTTTTGTGGGCACTGTTTGGGCAGTATGGATTCTCAAACTACTAGTTGAACTCCACAAAAAGTTTTGAAACTTGGTGAGTATGGCCTAGCAAATCTTAGGAACAATGATGTCATAGTCTTTAGTAGCTAGATAGCTGGAAAGTTTTTCTGTCCCTCGGAACTACTGAGTTCTCCCATCTCCTTTTTGCCTATCTACAGATTTAACACATTCTAAATAATTTTATGTGGAAATACAAAAGTAACAGAATGAGGGGAAACAGGAAACATTGCTTTTCTGCCAACACATGTTTTTTTCAAAATCAATAGTCACTTAGTTTCTGAAATGTCCTTAGAGCAGTTATTATCCCGTCGATGAGAAAGGTGGTGAACAGTAGTTTCGCTCCTATTTGTCTTAAAGGGACACTTCAGCACTTCAGAGAACATGTACAGTCCAACAAATCTGGACTTATCTGCCTTGATGTTGAAAGGGCTGGAGATTCCTTTTATAGTAAGCTGTCTAACCAAATGCTGCTCTGACTTCTCTCAGGGGATCACTTCACTAGCAAGCTTTGAACCCCTCATTCCACCTCAAAACAAGATGCAGGCTTCTTGACTGATGAGCTCATGTTATCTGAAGGGCGGTATGAAAGAGTGCTCACTTTTGTCGACAGGCTTGACTGAGACTTGGCCTTTGGGGGAATATATTTCAGAAGCTGGAGGAAATAGTTTTTAAATTTTTTTCCCAGAAAGCCATAAAACAAAGGATTCAGGCAATTGTTAAAATAAGCTATGCAGATGGTGATAGGCATGGCAGTATCCACGATGTCAGCGATTTTACAGTTGCGGATGATGCCCAGCTGAATGAGCACATCCAGAAAAGTGAATATTTGGTGGGGAACCCAGGAAAAGAAAAAGAAAAGCACGATTGCCATAATTATCCTAAAGATATCGTCATTTCTCTGCTTGTTCTTCTGAATATCGTAAGCCTTCTTTAGGGCTTTCCAAATTAGAGTGTAGCTGGTGAGAATGATCAGAAAAGGGAACAGGAAGCCCAAAATGTTCTTGGTCAGTCCCAGCCCAATGGGGAGTGTTGAGTTCTGAGATTCATAATGGAAAGCACAAACTGTGATATTGGTGTTCTCAATGAAAAATACATTTCGGTGAATGACTACCGGCAAACTGGCCAAGCCAGCCAGAAGCCAGATGATGATGCAGGTAACTTTGGCCACCAGCATTGTGCGGCGGAGGCGAGACTTCATTGGGTGGACAATGGCCAGGTAGCGATCAATGCTGAGACAGGTGAGCAGGAAAACACTGGCATAGAGGTTGAAACTGACACTGGCTGAAGCGATCTTACATAGGTGATTGCCAAAGGGCCAGCGATATTCCATAGCGGTATAGACAGCCCACAGTGGCAAAGTCAATAAAAAGCATAAATCAGCCAGGGCAAGATTCAGAAGAAAAACACTAGCCACATTCTTCAGCTTCATGTAAAAGTAAATGACAATCACCACCAAGCTGTTTCCAAATATTCCCACCACGAAGATTATGCTGTAGAGAGTAGGGATCATGACAAAAATGTAGTTGTGCCTGCCAGCCTTGGGACAGTCATCTTGGATTCTTTTAATTCCATCTCCATTGGAGGAGTTAAGGATCATGTTGCTCTTTTGGGGTGAGTTGTTCTCAGACACTATTCAAGACACACCTGGAGAAAACAAAGATTTATTTTTAAAAATTGAAGTTTCTGTTGTAAAAAATAATGTTAATTATCAATCACAACTTCAGTAATTCACCTTTAGTCTTTGGAAAAATATTAGATCATAAATCTCTGTAGGTTGGTAAATTTTAGTTTCCAAGTTGCCTTATAACAATCTAAGCATTGGTAATAACTACCAAACTAAATTAACCATTCTGAATGACTTGAGAGCTGTTACTGGGCTGAGCAGGTCTGATTAACAGATCTTTTACCTTAAGAGTGTGGTGCATACATATCTTATTCTTTAAACAATTTATTTCATCTCTCAATCTTTGTTTGGCATTCTTCCTTATGTAGTCAGCTGCTGTTGGTCACTGTAGGAATAGATTTAAAAGAGGTAGTAAGAAGGGTTCAGTGTTTTGGGAAACAGAATTCCTTCCATGGTTTTCCAGGCTGCTTTAGGATGAAACTATTTATTTTTTTAAATTCCTAACTCAATCTACCAAAAGACTTTTTTGGACTTTCATTCCTAGTGTCTTTTTCTGGACTTCATGCTGAAGTTAACTATTTTTTTTAATTTGCTATTTGGGTAGTAAGAGTGTCAAATGAACAGGTTAGGCTAGAATTATTTCCAAGACATATCTCTAGTAAGAATTGGAGGACAGTTGTTTATTGTAATCAGATGTTTAGATGCTTGGGAAGAGTTCCAAGAGACTTTTGTGGATATTTTCCCAACATTTCACATGATCAAAATTCAAGCTGTTTACTTATGTGATTTTAAAATTCCATACATTCTGTTTTATGTAAATCCACCAGGAACATTGATACTCTCTGTAAGAGTAGCATAGTAAGGTGTGGAACAGGAGTTCTCTGAGGTGAGGGTAACCTGGCAGGCAATGGTGTTAATTACACAGGTTCTGTCATGATGGCATAATCAGATTGCTACAAGCATTTGGCAGTGCATTGTGATATGGCAGTGCACCCTGGAGAAGAAAAAGAATGGGGATATAGTTCTATTGTTCTTTTCATTATAGACGTGTTTGGCATCCACACTCTTGTCTATCAAAGTACAAAGCAGGAAACTTCAGTTGCTCGATTTGAGAAGATAATGGTCTAGAGAAAAAGAGATCTTTTTATATTTCTGGTAGTTAAAGCTATTGTCCCTCTTTATGTGTCTAGTTCCACTCCCATTATCTTTCCCTTTGCATTCAGCTTTATATAATTTAAACCTCTTCCTCCTTTAACTGATTTTATGAATTACATATAAGCATATCCTACTCCATGTGTCATATTTTCTGTGATGTCTTCTCAACTTCTCCAAGCGGTCTTGGAACTTTGGACATGTGTTTTGACACTTTGAGGATCTTGGCATATTCTCCCCACTTGGCTAATGGAGGTTGGGTTATTAGACAATGCATGAGCAAATGGCAAGTGGTTGAGATATTCTGAGTGTTCAGGCCTCATCAGCTTCATCTGCTATAATTTATGCTCTTGCTCATGGAGTCTCATAGAAAAAATACAGTGTCAACTTGACAATATTGACAGGAAAATGAAAACAATGGGCAGAAAAGCCATAGATGTGCAGTTTACAAAACAGTACAAGTTGTAAGGAAAAAATATTTGACAGAACCCATGACTCTGAGGGAAATAGCATAATTATTTCTCAGTCAGGAGGAATTCCCTTTGCTTTGCTTTCATTATAGTTCTGGAACTTATGCCAATCTAAAAGTATAATTTCATTAGATAAATATTCTTTATGAAAGTCAAGTATATCATAAAACTTTTATGGGCTAGTAGTCATTCATACCTTAATAGGGATTAATTTACTTATTGGTTATTACTCTCAGATGTAGTTGGAAGTAGCTGGACTTTGTTCAGGAAAATACTTAGAAATGTCAAAGTTAAAAAATGTTTTAAAAATGAAAGAGGCCAAAGTGAACTCTATACCAAGAGTTGGAATATTTGGTTTGGCTTGAGGATAAGGACAACAAAAAATAGAAAGACATTCCCTTAAAGTATGACAATCCCTTGGGTGCCCTTAGTTTCTAGAACAAGAAAAAAATTCTCCCCTCCTCCCTCTTTACCCTCTTGACCCTGCTTTGACTCACATAAATCAGTTGGTTCCATTAATTTTGTTTGGAGTAAGTAAAATTGTACTGACTAGTCTGAGATTACTCAGTTTAGAACATAAAGGGAAAAGTCTGCATTTAAAAGGACAAATTTATTAAAATGAATTTGGAATCCAATTTATGAGCTGTTTCTCCTGCACTTCAGTTGATTTATATTGTGTTATCCGAGATGAAGGAACTACAAGTGAGAAAATGTCTCTAAAAGATTGGCCTGTAGGCAAATCTGTAGGGCATTTTTCTTAATTAGTGATTGATGTGGCACATTGTAGGTGGTGCAGTCCTGGGCAGATGGCCCTGGGCGGTCAAGCTGGTAAGCAGTACTCCTCTAATACCTATAAATCAGTTCCTGCCTTCAGATTCCTGCTCTGACTTCCCCTGGAACATGGGCTACAAGCTGTAAGATGAAATGAACCCTTTCTCACAAGCTGCTTTGTCCATGATTTTTCATCTCAGCAATAGAAACTTTTGACTAAAACAGAAAACATCCTTGGAAATTTTATTGAGGTCTTGATTAATTAATGAGTGTATTACTTGAAAGACTCTAGAAACAGGACAGAATATACTAATCAGACCATGTCCACGAGTATTTGAATAATGACTAAGACTTATTACCTAACAAAGAAAACACATCTCTCATACTTGAGGCTAGAATACAAGGAGAAAAGAACTTTAGGGGACAAGAAAAAAGGATCATAAATATGAATAGATATATTCTGCAAGCTCTCACTTATCTACCACACTCCCCAACACTAGCTATGTTCACGTATCTTGTCGAGTATGCAAATGGCACAGCAGAGTCTTCTTCCTTTACAGTGCTCACTTCTAGCAGGGGAAACAAGCCCTCGAGATCCAATCATCTTCATTGTGTTCCAGGTTATGTGAGAAGTTCTCTGTTCATAGTTGACCCAGGTTGGTGAAAAATGTAGGTCATGCCAAGGGAGAGGAACTTAGAGAAAGCATTTATATTATAGAAGGTATGGAAAAAAAAAGAATAGTAATAACTTAAAAGTAGCAATCTGGCCAGTCAAAAGGTAGTAGAGATGAAGCTCCAGCTTGTACTTTTTTCTCTTTATGGATGCCTACAACACATCTATGGGAATTGGCTGCTGTGAATTTACAGATGCTGAATAACTTCATCAAAATGTTGTTCCAAATATGCACTGTTTTTCTGAATGGAAGGGTGCAATGAGGTTCTCTGCTCTTCATTCATATTATTTTGATAAGCCTTCCTAGGGTAACATGGAGTTTTAAGATGAATGAAAAATCAAACTGTCAGGTCTAAAGGAAACTGTTTCTAAAATTTCAAAAGAGAGGAGGGACAAATCACTTTCTGTGGTACTATTAATGTACCAAAGTGCATGTTGGCCTTCAGGCTCCTTCAAGATACTTCAAGAATCCATTACACATTCCAAAGGCCAGACGAGGATCCTAGCCATTCTCTTCTCCTCCACTACCTTAAACTGTCCAGCTCATGGGTTTTCCTTAGCTACTCATAACCCTTAAAACCCTGCTTTTTAAATATGCTCTCTGTCTCCCTTCTACACTCTTTTTTGTTTACCTTTCTCTTTCTTGTTTTCTCTATCTCTTCCCTCTTTTTGTCTCTTCCTCATTTCTCTATTATTCTTTATCACTATTTCTGCTTTTCTCCTGCTTCTTTCATGACCAGATCCAGTCTGCTTGGCCATGTTCAATCTCTCTCTGTCTCTCTGTTTCTCTGGCTCTCTGTCTCTCTCTGCTCTGGACTCTCCTATATACCTCTGGTTATTATCTCTTTCATTATCCACAATAAAAACCTGTTAACCATGCATAGAACAACAGTTTATATGGAACTCGTGTGATAGGTACCTATAGTAGTGTTGGGCTCTTTTTACTTTGAAGCAAAAAGGAAGCTATTTGGGCAAGAATCTCAAGGAGAAAAGACATTATTAAGAAAATGAAAACTGTAAGACACAGAAAACAGCTACATTTCTGTTCTCACCCTCTGAGCTGGTTTCTGAAAATTAAGAATGCTGACAATAGTAATAACCAACTGTGTATTAAGGGATAGTCAGGCAGAAATAGGGTCACTTGGATGATAATTGAGTATGGTACATCTCATGAAGCTGGAAGAAAGGACTCTGCAGATTTTTCTCATACAGAAATGAGAATGAAAACTATTTGATAGAGAAACATTTAACCTCATTTAATCATTACACAATAGGTACACATATTGAAATACTGTAGCACCATGGATACAGTCATATCTATATTTTTTGGATTTATGTGGCAGCTAAATTTTTCAATAAGGATTAAAGAGTCAAAGGAAAGCCTGTTTAATTTTAGGTCAAGTTATTGCCTTTGATGTATACAGGAATTTTATGTGCCATTTTTCAGTAGTCTGGGGAAGAAGGGTTTGGAGCAGAAATAGATCAATTTTTGCCCCTTCAAGAACAGTGAGACTCTGGTTATGTCATACAATTTCTCTGGATGTTAGCCTTCATCTCATCATCTGTAAGACAGAAAATGATCCGCTCTGAACACAAAACATACAATTAAATGAGATTGTGTGAAAGTAGTGGGCATTAATTTCAAATGGTGTTTAATAAATATTTTCCTTGAAACTATTTACTGTTTTTTTTAATGCAAGGCAAGCATTGACTCAGAACACCTATCAGTAAGGAAACATGAGAGAACACAAAACAGGTTTATCAGTGGTAAATTTCTCATGTTTCCTGTAAAAGGTTTAAAAACTCCAAGCTGTTTTTCAAGGAGTATGGGTAAAATGTAACTGGAAGCAGCTGGACAAATTTACCATGAGTCAGATGGGACCTTCAGTCTGCTTGCTCTTGTATGTATTTGTATTTCTTCACATTTTCCTTGCTTCTCTGAAGCAAGCAGAAG